CATGTCGTCGCGGCGTGAAGTCTTTAGAATCCTCGCGCTATTACAAAGGAAGACGTCAATTGAAACAAAAAATCGCATATTAAAATGCTTAAAATGGCACTATTTGACTGTGCGAGCAATGAAAAATGTTGGAGTGTTGACGGAGGACGGGGCATTTGCCCTCTTTTTTCGTCCCCACCCCGGGGGGGTTGACAGTTCAAGAGTCCCCACCCCCGGGAATTTGCCATCCAAGGCAAAAAAAATGCTAATGCCCGGGGGTCAGCCCGGGGGGGCCCTGGGCGCAGGTGGAATTGACTGATGCATAAACCATTAATTGCATCATGTATTTTAGTCATGTACGTTGTCGTGTTTCTTTATTTTGTTTTTAAGGTTCTCCTACTCATTAGCATTCTATGCACTTATTATAAATTCATCTTTGTATTTATATTCTATTTTACTAAAGATGACAGTTGAGCGGTCGAGAATTTCCCGCCGTCGGGCTAATTCTTCGTCACCAGCTGGATGGTGTTAAGGTGTCTCGATACAGTTTTTCAGGGTCAACACCTCCCAAGTTTGAGCATAAACTACGTCGCCATAAACAAAGATTTGGAAAATTGCCACCACAGTTGTATCAGGTAAAGATGAAAATTTGTTATGATCAAGCTTGTAATGACATCAGAGTTGTCATAGCAACGAAATGAGGTTTTTACCTATTTTACTTGCACCAGTATTTCTCGGCACTGGAAACTGTTCTTCCAAAATCGTTTACGGGAGCTTTTTCCTCCAATAGCCGCCTCGACGTTCGTGAAGTTTAAGCGAAATCTTTAAGAGCGTCCTTGGGATATTTTGGGATAAAGTTCTTATGGTTAGAAATACGGTAAAACTCGCCAATCTCGATGTTTGGCTGTTATCTGTAGAAGCGCTTTTAACATGCGACTTCACCTCATAGTAGTTTCAGTCTTTTTAAAAACGTGTGTCATGGAGGTAGCTTCAGCCAATTGCTAGAAAGAAGGATTTGATTAGTATGTATCGAGGCGCTCTTGTTTCCGGTTTGTAAACCCTTTGGTCTACTTTAACAAATTAGCGAATAATTTTTAAACTGCTCGATAGATTTTTTAAAAAAATTTAGACTCTTGAGATTAACCTTCCTTTTAGATTATTGATATATTGTAAGACAGTAAAATAAAGGCTGCAATTCACGAATATTTTGTCAGAAATTTTGTGTTTACAAGTGAGAGCCTCCATTATTCAGGGTATTGTCTCCGAGTTCCATATTTTCGTTCGCAACAATAGCTAGCATTTTTGCATATTTCAAATGCATATAGTGACTGCTGTTCACGCGAAAATGAAACTTGGAGACAATACCTTGAATGATGAGAGGCTTTTACTTGTAATGGCAAAACTTCTGATAAAAAATTGACAAATTTTAGCCCTTATTTTACTGTCTTGCAATACATAAATAATCTTGAAACTAAAAGGTCATATAAAAGGAAGATTAATCTCAAGAATATTTAATTTTTACGAAAATCTATCGAGCGGTTTAAAAATTATTCGCTAATTTGTTAAAGAAGACCGAAATGTTTACAAAACCGCTAACAAGAGCACTTCAATACATACTAATCCAACCCTTCTTTCTAGCAATCGGCTGGAGTTATCTCCATGATCTTTCACACACGTTTTTAAAAAGGTTGAAACTACTGTGAGGTGAAGTTGCGTTTCAAAAGCGCCTCATTTTCTACAGATAACCAGGGTGCAAAGAAAATCATATTTACAGCTCTAGCATTTACTAGCCCAGACGTTATTTAAACTAGCCCCAAAAGCTTTTTGACGAGCAGAATTGATTTCACAGTTCTTCTGTTATTCGAATTCCTCAAAAAACCCTTCGGGCAAGTTAAAAACAGAAGTCACTAGCCCAATAGCAAAACCACTAGCCCCGGGCTATCGGACAGTACTTTCTTTGCACGCTGGATAACAGCCAAACATTACTGCGCTTTTCACAAACATGCGAATTCTGACGTTCAAAAGCCAACTGACGATTGCGTTTTTCGCTGCCGTCAATCACCAATTGCCTGGAGAATCCTTTGTTTTGAAATGAAATTGCCCAAGTTTTCCAGTTCCAAACACTAAACACTAACCACCTAAAGCTACCGTTTTGTGTGTTTCTGTGTTTCAAGGTTCGTTGCTTGTGATCGTATTAAATTATGATTGACGGCAGCGAAAAACGCAATTGTGAAGGCGGCTTTTGAACTTTAGAGTTGGCATGTTTGTGAAAAGCGCAGTAAGTTTGTCCATTTTTTACTGTTTCTAACCATAAAAACTTTATCCCAAAATATCTCTATAACGCTCCCTCACAGATTTCGCTTAAACTTCACTAACATGGAGGCCGCTATTGGAGGAAAAAGCTCCCGTAAACGATTTTGGAAGAACAGTTCCCAGTGCCGAGATATACTGCTGCAAGTGAAATAGTGAATAGCATCATTTCGTCGCTATGACAACTCTGACTAGTGATGTCTTTGCAACCCTAATCATAACAAATTTTCAACTTTATCTAAGACAACTGTGGTAGCAATTTTTCCAGATCTTTGTTTGTAGTTTATGTTCAAACTTGGGAGGCGAGTGACCCTGAAAAACTGTGTCGACCCACCTTAACTATATTTGGAAGATGTGAGCGGAAGACATAGATTGGTGTAGGGAAACAGTAGTAATGTAGTAATGATGGTGAAAAGGAGGAGGGACGAAATAAAAAATGTGATAAGGAGAGAAATAATTGAATTGTAGAGGAGTAAGAGACGATAGTTGATCCCCACCGGCTTTACGGACACCCGCTTAATACGGACACCTCGTTATTACGGACACAGTTTTTAAGAAAAATCCATACATTTCCTCTAAATTCAACTTGCTTAATACGGACACACGTTATTGTGGACAACAGACACTTTTTTTCTGTCCCAATCAACAAACTCTCATAGCACGTCAACCTCGCTAATGCGGACAGTTCATTCAGTATAAAGTGTGTTCTGTAATAGACCTTACCTTTCCTTTCTGAAGCGGGTAAAAAACCTTCAGTTGACAGCATGTCGATAATTCCAGCGCTATACCATACGCCAGTACGATGATTTTAGCGTCCCAAGTAGCGTTTTTAGGGAAGCTCGTGTTTCGTCCCTCCTCACAAATCATTTGAATCTTGATTTTCATGATTCCTATTGTTTTTGCCTAAATGATTCATGATTCCTATAAGAATTTTCTTCTAGATTAATGGCTCACGAACAATTTTGTACTTCCCCTTTCGTTCAAACATTAACCACAAAGGACTGCAAAGGACCGCAAACCAATATGCCGACGAACGTAGGATCTATAAAGACCTGACCAGCAAAAATAATAATGTAGGCATATTGAATTCTGCAAGCAGAATACTGCAATGCTGATCGTACTACCCTTTCGGTTTATATTTCACCTTAAATGGTGATTAAATGATAAGACAACAACGAATTCAATGATCTTTATTAATTCTCCAATTTGTCCAGACTTTTTGGTTAAAAGTTGATCACTCCGATCACACTCTTCTTTTCGCAGAGTATCATAGACTAATAATAAATCTTTTTTCATATTTATGTTTTTAGGTTTCTAGCCGATGGAAAGCGTTGTAGCTCAGGACACAGGACTCTAAAAGTTCAGCTACAATCTAAAGTTCATTTTATTTGCCCTAATACGGCTTCTGTGATGCAAAATGCTGCAACCCCAGCTCTTACAGCAAATATGTACGAAAATCTTTGGATTGTGTACAATAAAACAGTTTTTGACAAATGTGACACATCCATAGAGGGTGAAAACAGGACGACAAGTAAGCTACTGTTGCGGTGCAACACTCCAACAAAGTTGAACTATTACCCGTTGCTATTTTCCAAGTTTGCAGCAGACCCAAAAGGGCTGATGTTTAAAGAAGGACAAAAATATTATTTTATTGGTAAGTGATGGAAACAGTTCAGTTCTGAATAAGACTACAAGTGAAGAGTAGATATAATAATGCCACTGCCACCCACCTTCCCACTATACAACTGCAATCAAAAATGATTTCATGTGGAGGTCAGAATGCAAGGATGAGAAAAATGTATCTTATGTGCCTTTATGGGTAATTCCATTTTTGTGATTTCAAAGAAATGCCAAATTTTAAAATACAATATTTACTCGAATAAACGCCGTGGCGCTTATTAATTTTCTCGACGTCTTGATGCGACGCGACCCCTATTTGGAGACTGCGCGTGCGTAAATTTCCACACACCCGACTACCGTTTTGTAGGAAATATCTGTTCGGAGCTCTCTAGAACGCCTACAATGTTCGACACCTTAAGAACAGCAAAAAATGTCGTAAATGTTTCTTGGTGGCTGTTTGTTGACCTCAGAGTTTCGATTGTATGTTTTGTTCACCCACGTATTTTTCCTTTCATTTCCTTCGTTCGTTTATTTCTATTTTTATGATTTCTTTAGTTTCCATTTTTCCTTATTTTTACATTTTTTTGAGATACTTGGTAAACACGTTCATTCACTGCGTAATAAAATTACCGAGATTCTTTCTAGCAACAGTGAGGGGAAATCGAGATATATTGACCAATAATTTGGATATGTTAAAATTCATACTTGGTCCCGAGGCTTGGGGGAATAAAACAAAAGAGACCTTTTATTTATTGCTGAGGCTCAAGATGATTTCTTTTGTTTTATTCCCCTAAGCCTCAGTGGCAAGTCTGAATTTTAATATATCGAAATTGATTCATTGTTTTTCATTACTTTTTTGACACTTCAATGTTCACGTGTTCAGGGGGTTACCTTGGCCTTTAGGGACGAGGCCAATCCTGTCCTTCAAAACGGGCGGGAACCAAGGTAAATACCCATATTATTCGGTGATCACTCAAAACAGCCCATCTCTGACACCATCAAAGTTTAATTTTCTAAAGGAAGGTTAAATAAGAAATCCAATTCTCAAACTCATTAATTATTCATGAGGGCAACAGCCACTACATGAGGCATATTTGGGTCACATGAATGAACCTTGATACCCAATGAACACTCAGATGAAAATCTTATGGATTTTGATCTGAGATCAAACATGGTTTTTAATCTCAGATCAAACACTTGCATTTTAATGAGCATTTTTCAATTATTAATACATCGTCAACAACAGTTCCAAAAATGACCTGAATATTATTTGATATGATTAACCTTGATAGAGTAGGATACCACAAACTATTCCATAAACGGCTTTCGGTGGATATCTCTCCCCCTACTTCTTGGCCACCTCAATCACAAACTTGCTAAGCTAGTAATTCAAGTTTACTGTATCCATTTCTTCAATGTCGGTAGACAGCCGTGCGACCTTGTGTAAATCATAGCCTTTAAAGAGCCCTCCTGGATCTTTAACCGACCGAGAAATTTGTCATTCGCCAAAAATTGTTACCGCCTATTTGTTCTTATATTTGGTTGACGAGGGAATAGCTTTTTTGACTAACTTGTGTTCTTCGTAAACCGGGTTCGGCTCCCTACGTCTTCCCTCTCCATCTTCACTCATTGTCAGACACCAACTACACCAAAACAATTAATCAATATGCATGTTGACTCAATGTTACGGAAAATGGCAATATTGCGTCGCTGCGTTATGGTTCTTTCATTTGGGGAGTACAATAGCCAAAAAATGTATCACTGCATATTTTTTTATTGTTTCGTTTGAGAAGTAATCTCAAAAACTCGTGCTTCGAGTTTCATCAGGGGTTCCGAACACCTCGAAACAATAAAAGCACGAGGTCGCAGGCCGAGTGTTTCATGTATTCCTCGGTGTTTGAAACTCCAGATGAAACCACCTCACTCGTTTTTGATATCTAACATGAATTTACTCAGGGCCGGTTAAATCTTAATAACGACTGGGACATTCCCTTTACCTCTCCCTACTCAATTAGCCACGAGAGGCAGGGAGGGGGAACAAGAGCAGAGGATAAATGCTTCTTGTTCTCAGAGATCAGCAATGGTTTATTAGTCAGTTGCGATTCCCGAAGCGTGGATGTCTTCGATCGACAGACAAAGCAGCCGATCGGTACTACAGTGGACCACTGAGGAAACAGTTTCCATCAATGCTTTGAAACGAAACTCATCAACCATGAAGGTGGTTTGCTTGTCCCGCTCAGATTTTTCAGCAGTTTCTAACTGCGTTTAAAAGTTTTGTTGTTGTTTGCCTATCTTTGTAATGCACCAGTCACAAGCAACGATCGTTTTCCTACTTTGCATTGTCACATTCAGAATTTGACACCATCGCCTGCATAAGGACCAAGTCCCGGTTGTTCAAAAGTTGGATAGCGCTATCCACCGGAAAAATTACTATCCTGGAGATAAGTATTAGGGAAACCAATTACTCTATCCAGTAGATAGAGATTTATCGAGTGGATAGCGTTATTCACCTTTTGAACAACTGGGGCCAGCAGTACTCGGTCGAAGCGAGGCGATCAATGACCAAGGTGAGACAAAAGATAAAACCACTAAGAGATGCATTGGTGTCTGACACGGTGCAGCGAACAGCTAGATGGAATTGATTCGCGAACAAGAGATCTTGCCAGAACTAGCAGGCTTTATTGGCCAGCCCTGTTCGTCCAGCTCTTCATCTCCATTCTTGTTAACTCTAAAAAAACTATCTACCAAAAAAGTCGATTCTAATTGTAATTGTAGGTTATTTATCTGGAATAAATTGTCGGCAACGCCATGCAGAGTTAACATAAATCAAATGACTTTTATGGATGTATCTTCCAGGAACATCTGATGGAACGGAGTCCCACATCAATGACGCCAGGGGTGGTCACTGCAGTGACACAAAAAGAGGAATATTCATGAAAATTGAAGTCTATGTCTGCAAAAAGAATAATCTAAATGATACAGGTATTTTCATCTCTCCCCCCCCGTTCCTGTCTCTGCCCCGCCCCCTTTTCACTCCCTCCAACTCCTTGCCTTTTTTGGAATTTTACTCTTCGGTTATGTGAGTAGAACGTTTCGCGCACGGGCAGAAACAATTATTTAATGATGATGATTTAATTATAATTTAAAAATTTATAGTGCGCAAATTTCCATGTAAACTATAGTCAAATGCGCGATAAAAATAAATAACTTAAAAAATAACTTTGAAAAATGTTTAAATAAAATATACGTTAATTACAAAGACACTTTTAAGTTTCTTTGTAATTATTCTTTGTAAAAGTAATTACAAATACGTATGTGCAATAACTGTAGAAATAAACATGATTATAGAATAGTGTATGTATGCATTCGTAACATTAAAAAACAATCCTAGATCTTGTTCAAAACTAATCTTAATTATAAGTTAAATTAAAAAAATAAACCGTAAGCAGCGATTTACATTTGATTTTAAATTTGATGAGTCGTGGACAAATTGATATTGATGTAAATAGCTATCTACAACTCCATTCTGAAGTTAGAACTCGAGGGAGTCATCGTTATAGATATAGGCAAGATAAGGCGACAAAGAGAACATTACTTTATTTTTATTCCTTCTTCTCAAGGACCATAAGGCTATGGAATAATTATAAGCTACCCGCGGAAATAGTTGAGTCAAACTCCTTGGCTGTCTTTACCTCTAAATCTGACTCCCCTACCTAGCTAAGAACTACTAGACGTTTTTTACTTTCATACTTTTTTACTCTTTATTATGATTCACTTATTTTTATGTATGTATCATCCTAGTTTATTTGTTAATTTTATCCGAGCATTGTACATATTTTATGATCGTTTCTTTTAATAGTTGGTGCGATGTCTTTAACAGATTTTAACAATTTAGTAAATGTAGCTGTAGAAGTTAGTTTCGTTAGGTAGAGTGTTCGACAAGTTGTTCCACACAGCCGGGGCCGCCATTTGAGAGGAGCGATCACCAAATGTCTTTTTTGGCTTAATAGGTAATATTTCTAAAAGAAGTCCATTGTTGGATTGTAGATTGTATCTAGAGTTCTCTTTTCAGTAGTCAGCTGACGGTCCATGTCTAATCGTAAATGTTAACACTGCAATTCAGGCAATGTTGAGTGTGGTACTGGCGATTTATAAACCCCTCGGACATACAACACTTAATTTCAGGGGAAATCAATGTTGAATCAACTTATTCTGAAATTAAGAATTGGTTCATGTTTAATTAGCGTGCGTATATCGCGAGGTTTACACAATGTAGTGAGTTCTACGCTCGCTGTGATTGGTTGTTGCCCATGATCTTAAAAGTCTACTGTGAACAGGAAAAAAAAAACTTGTCTCGTACCGCTTTTGAGTAATGAATTTTATGTCTCTTTTTTCTGATGATTAATACATGTATATATTTGTCTTGTTGATATTGAAAGACCGCCACGTCATGTTGCCACATGTTAAGCGAATAGGCAGTAACATCATATCCAAAGCTCCATTTTGCTGTAGTCATTTTTTATTTGACGTCTGCAAAGTCGTTTAATCCATCTTAATTAATTATAAGTTTGACTTGAGATCACATATGTTTATTTCTCATCACAAATACATAAAAGTTTTCAAACTTGTCAAACTTCAGCGAAGATATCGGCTACGCACTGCTCACTGTTAGGGTATTTTATGGAGGAAAACCTTCCTACTGCCTGCCGCGGACGGCCATTTCCTCAAGCGTTCTTGGTCACAGTGACATTCAGTAACGAAAATCACTATTAACGTTTCCTTCGCTTCGCTTGGACTAGTCGTGACCCGAGAAAACGATAAAAACCACTTGAGACTTCACTATGCCTTCTTGTGAGGAGATCTTTAAATACTGACTAACAACCAATCGACACGACGAAGCCGCCACGCTTCTTAAGTCAAAGAGTGATCCTAGCTGCAAAAATTGTAACATTTACCTGCTCAGGACAGTAACTCCCCATATACTAATATGAATTTGACTAACAACCATTCCTTAGCTGCCTCAAACGCTGTCGGCTGTGCCTGGACATTTTATGATCAGTTTGAGGACAAACTTTGTTCTGTGCTTTCCATCATCCTGAACTTGACAACGTGCCCTCTTACGGTCCTTCTGAACACACTCGTCATGATAGCGGTTAAGACAAAACCAAGCCTTCAGACAATGCACAATGTAATACTGGCCTCCATGGCAGGTACAGATTTGGCGGTGGGGGTAGTTCTTCAGCCAGTATTCATCGCAAGAGAAATTTTCGGCCTTTGGGGTGGATGGGTGTTGATTCAGTGCTACCTAAACACAATGACAATGATCATAACATCTCTCCTTTGCTTAACGTCTCTATTTCATGTTGTGGTGATTGCCTTAGAACGCTTTATAGCAATGAAATATTCTTTAAAATACAACAGCATCGTGACAACACGACGTTTAGCTGTGGCTATAGCTTTGTGCTGGCTTTTTACGGGAATATATTTTCCTCCCATGTTTATTGAAGCGCGTATCACACGAGTTTTCGCGATTAGTACATCTTTAACAGTGATTTGTTTCTGTCACTTGTCAGTTTATTTTGTTTGTCGCCGCCATTTGAATCGCATTAAATCTGAGCAATCCTCCAGGGAAGCCAAAAAAAAGTTCTTAGATGATCAAAAAGCTTGGAGAACAACCATTATTGTTTTAGGTGGTTTTATTTTATCTTTTTTGCCAGAGGTTTTGCGCGCTACACTCTTGCAACCATTTTCATTTTCATTACTGACACATTTAAGGCCACTGACATTTTCTTGTATTATTTTAAATTCATTTTTAAATCCTGTTATTTATTGCTGGAGGAGCCAATTCATTCGTCAAGGAATGATGCAACTTGTGGGAAAGAACGTGAACAATGTATAAAAGAGCCAAAATGTATATTAAATCACAATTAAATTTTGGCAAAAACTGTGTAATTTTATTGACGTTTTGAATGTCTAGTAAGGTAAAAACAAAATACAAAAATAAAATAAGTTTTGAGTTTATGGCAATCAATTGTCTACTGTTTAACTTTATATTTCAGAATTTTAACGTCCTTCTTATCATGTTTGCTTGTCAAAAGGCTGTGTACGTTGTTTAGGAGAACAGAGTTATCTGACGGTAATAAAATAGTAATATACAAACACAGAGGTGTGAGAAAAACTCTCGACAATTGAGAATGTATTTTCTCGTACATAGTTACAAAATCAGCTTTTAAAGACTCTTTCCCCTTTTACACGTTGAAATTCGTTACATTAAAGAAAAAAAGGTTTATTACGTCGCAAAACAGTCCATAAGATTATTTTACAGATAAAAAAAGACAAATCCACATTACTTCCTAAGTCATTTTCTTCACCTTTTGGCGGCTTTATGCCATTAGGGAAACTAATACGATCGTTTGTAGCGGACTTAGTATCATAGACCTTTTTCTACTTTAGCTGAAGTAAATTTACCATGGGAGAAATCTAGAACTTAATGTATAAGCTAATTTCTAATCCCGCAATAATCCCGCAATAATTCCTTTTTCGCGTTAATCATAAATTAGGAAAATGAAATCAATAGAATTCCAATTTTTGAACCTCACATCACAGTTGACTTCCGGAGTCTCCCCCTCTGAGTTAAACACTGTTAATTTCGAGAGTCTCGAAATAGTGAAAAATGAAAACATTACTATTATTATATTACTGAATCATTTTCGCCCGTCCACAAAGAATGCTAAAACAATGCACGATGCAAATACAATAGTATCCCTTACTGAGCATGCGTAATGCGATACATGACATTATTGTTTCATTATTAAGACTTGCGCTGGCTACCAATCAGGCAACAACTTTATTTTCGTTTTGCTGTTCTGGTTTTTAAGTGCATGACGAGTTGTGCTCCGGAGTATTTGACATCAAAGCTCGTTGGAAGATCCGCCGTCTCGACAGTCTTCTTTTATCATTGTTATATTCTTATTGTCATGTACTTGGTTTATAATTTTGTAATGTAAAATTGACTCTGAAAAGCCCCGTGGGGACGAGCCAATAAAGTATGTATGTATGTATGTATGTATGTATTGTATTCGAAAACCTCTGTTTACGCCCGTCCACACGTAAACGAGAAGCCAGCGTTTTCAAAGCTCTCCACTCTGGGGAGCGTTTTTAAAAGATGTGTTTTCGGTGCCAGTTTTACCAAAAAAGGGTGGTCAGTAGGCAAAACCAAAGGGAAAAATCTCCGTTTTTAAACAAAAACGGATTTGTGTGGACGGGGTGATAATCTCTGGATAAACACATTGATGACTTTAATACAAGCAGTTCAAAATAATCTCTGCTTAAGGAACGAATTACACCTTGGTTTCAAAAAGCTAATATGACACCCGTGATACACAATAAACTAGGAAAGTTTTTATTTGGAAATCAAATGACACCGTGAAGCCAAACTTTTTTCTATAATTGATATATTAACAATGTTTTGCATCCGCAATCTCGTGCGGCTAAAATGGGTTTAAAGAATCTAACAAAGCTCCTGACCATCTTGGTGTAGTCATTTTATGACTTGCCAGAGTCTTTTAATCCATCTTAATCTAGTTGAAGTGAGATCACATATGTTTATTTCTCACCAAAAGTACATAAAAATTCAGTCAAAATATCCGAACTTTAAAAAGCTAAAAAAAAAATAAGAAGCTGAAATAAGGCTTCTAAAAATTAAGCTAGTAATGTGGCACAGAAGAGCCATTCATGGAATGCTAGTAAACTGTATTATTATTATTATTATTTTATTACTATTATTATTATTATTAACTGCACTGCTTTCTACAAGGATAACTGTTAGAACTAAGGGAAACCCTTTGTGACTATCTGTAGGGCTATTTCTCCGAGTCTAACGGTTAGGACTTTTTAAGGCTTCTCTTCGACCGGTCGTGACCTTAAACGGAATGCGCCTCGCAGAATAATAGGCTTTGTTTTAGCCAGAAAAAACAGCCCACATTTCGAGATGCCACCAACGGTTTTCCGCGAAATTTGGTGGCCTGGCGTGGAGAAATGTCGGCTATTTTCTCAGGCTAACCTGTCTGGGGACTAAACAAGAGTCCAACGAAGGCTTAAATCCGCAAAGAGCAAGTTTCCTTTCTCTGATAGTAATAGTCGACAAAGTCAAATTTGCCAAAGAAGGAAGGAAGGAAGCCTATTAATATAAGCTTCAAGCTTCGTTAGGCTTCCTTGTCACATTAATTTTATAATTTAATTAACAACTTCTATTCATGTTGTATAAGGTTTTGTGAGTGACTAAATAAATAAATAAATAAATAAATAAAGTTTACTGATGAAAAAATTAATCTTCTTACACTTCATCATCATCATCCGTCCCGCTCTGGCCATTTGCGGGATATGTTCTCGGTCGTCCCGAGTTCAAATCCTCCGCGGCGTATGTAAATATCCAACTGGTTGCCTCCTGCCAGTTGAGGTTTTCAATCATGTTATGTTCTATATTGCATTATTTGTTTCAAATCAGTATTTGAGTGGAGTGCCTGTAAACTAGCTGGATAAGCTCAGTGCACTTTCCATTTCAAACAAACCTAATTTAATTTTTTAGTTTGAATTTAATTTAATCATCATCTTTCGACCGAAGAGCAGCCGACTGTAAGTCATCTCCAACTGGCTCGATCTTGGGCAGTGCGCACGATATCATCCTCGATCAGAGAAATGCTTATTCGGGTCGATCAAGAGCCATAATGGCTCTTGGGTCGATTTATTTCTGGAACTGGCTGGAAATGGACTTGAGCGGTATCAATCGGGGTCTTCTCCCGTGGGGGGAAAACGCGTAGATGTTAGCGGGTTCATCCTTCCCCATGCGAAAATTGTGGCCAAGGAACTTGAGCTAGCTGACGTGAGATGACCGTAGATAGCAGAGGGCTAGTGACAGTGAGATCGTAGATTCGGTCATTTGAGACTTTGTTTGCCGTTTGATGTTCAATATGATCTTACAACATCGTTCCCAGGTTCTCTCCCCTACCCGTCGAGAGACAAGTCTCTCTCTCTCCCTCTGTCGCTGCGTAGGGACGGGTAGGAGAGAATCCTGAGAAAGAGGTTGTATGATCTTACTGGCATGAGGTGGCTAAAGCCTTTAGTTTCGCGCCCATGTCATCTTACACTATAAAACAGAATGCACCCAGGAATTGAAACTCAAGGCGCTTTCCATTTGTCAGAACTGACTGGCCAGACCAATCCCATCGTAATGAGAATTTAATTTTTAAGCAAAACTAACAATCCAGATAAGTCAAATCCTACATATTATGCACAAAGGAGATGGTTGTTCAGCGAAACCTCTTTGAAAAAGCCTATATTATTACCAAAATGTTTGGTCAGGCCATGATCCAGCCAGCCAGTTCTGACTTTTAAAAAGCGCCCTCAGAATGGAGCGGAGATATATACAAAAATGGAAATGGATAAGGTTGAAACGAGTAAACTTGGAAATCGACGTGCCCGACTTGTTCGGGTTTATATCTGTTTCAATTTGTAAGAACTGTGTACTCTATACAGTAGTATAATGCTCCGTTTGTTATTTTAGTTTTAATGATTTGGTTTGGCAGGTACATGAAGACTTTAGTAATATTAACCAAAAAAAGCAATTCTGAAACATTGTGACAGACCTCGAGTCCCTTGAGTCCGGCTAGAAAGCGATTCTGAATTATTCCAAACTCAGTGACCAGAGTGTTTATTTTTAGCATTGATTCGGAAATCCAACCTCGATTTCTATAGCCTGTTCCAGGCTTCGTCATAGTAGAGTCCGTTAACTATTCATGAAAAGGCGCCGCCGGCGAACACGAAAATAAAACGGGAAGAAACCGAGGAGAAGAAGGGCGGCTTCCCTTTTCCCGCCGCCGCCCCTTTTTTCCAGTTCACGCACTCAAGCGTCATCCCTACTATCTGAGAGCCTGGAACAGGCTACGATTTCTAGCCGTAAATGGAGGATAATGAAATTGCTTATTTTGGGAAAGGATGATCTTGTTTTATAGCTGTAACTTTTGTCTCCTTGTAGACAACGCATGCAAGTCAGATGAAATTGGCGTACTGAAATGTCCAGAAGTTGAACAGAACACTACAACACCAACCACCACAACTGAGAACGTTAAAACGACAAAAATGCCGCATATAGACAGCCGCGTATTTAGTGAAGTAAAAGTTGAGAAAGGTAACATTTTAATTACTCTATGATTAACTCAATTGTTTTACTACGTTTTTCACTTTGTAAAACTGGCTGTGAATTAGGCTGTGCTCATACTATACCGGACACCCTTTTGTACCTACTCGAAAAGGCATCGTGTACAGTATGAAAACTTATGTCCGATATGTTACTCTCCACTTTAGAGATCTGCGCAGCGCAGCCTTGTCCCGTTACAGAAATCGCGCCAAAATTACCCTTCTCATGGGTGAACAGAACCCCTTCAGGTATGGTTTTCGTGCCGGTGCAAAAGCTATCCGGCATCGTGTGAACACCTTTCCGATGTGACTCTCCACTTTACAGATCGGTGGGGCGTAGCTTCTCTCCGATACAGAAATCCCCGTTTTGGAATGTGAACAGAAGCCCTGCCCTGTACGCTTTTCGTGCCGGCGCAAAAAAATATCCGCGATGGTGTGAACACAGCCTTAGGGAGGGACTTGACTGGCTGTTAATATCTATGCATGCGAATAACACATATACAGGCAGTATATTAAACGCTTTAGTGTTTTGACCGCGAGCTAAACCTGTTGAACTAAAAACAAATAATGGCTGTGTATAATCATTAACAACTACATAATTAGGAGTCAGTAATGGAAGTAAAGCTGAATTCTCCCACCCCAAGCTCTGACAGAATCGCTGCATGACTGTTCAGCCTTGTATCAGTTTCTTTAGGCTTTCCTTCTCTTGTTCGCTTGACGCCTGATTATGGTCAAAATCATCAAGCTTATCATAACTTTTTTCTAAGATAAAGAAAGAAAAGAAATTTGGAGTTCTTGGAAATACGACGATTCTTGCCATCGCTATCATTAATTACTACTGACATGCTTACTTATCATCTCTCCTCATACTGCGTCTCTTCATTTCCTGGGGGATCGATCTCGCGATGTTGCTGTTCCATTTATGGGAACGTTTGGTGGTAGTCGTTAAAAGAGGAAAAGGAGTTGTGTTTAAAGTGATGTGATCCCTTCAGACTGACGTGCTAATGAAAACAAAGAATAAACAAAGAAACAGAAAAACAAAACGTAAAGTCTACATTAAGCCATCTTTACAACTAAACTACTAAAGAGGCTGTGCTCCATTTCACAGTTCTCAAATTGTATTTTCCACTCATCGACTAATCAGCTGCAGCATAGTCATTTTGTTTGCACCACCCGGCTGTGCTTCCATCTAAACTATGACATTGTGAGTTGGTGCCTTTAGCTGCTGATGATGAAGCTATAAATTGGTTGCACTGTGCTTTCACCTAGTGCCTTTTAACCGCTGTTTCAAAAGCTCTCAGTTGTTTGCACTTTTGCTTTTTCTAAGAAAAGCCTCTTTAATGTTTCTAACTGTTATCAAATGATCCCGCCAATTCAACCCAGGGTATTGTAAACTATTGCCCTTGAGTCCTGAGTCCATCCTGCGAAACACCAATAAACTTCTTGGAATCGCGATCAAAAGCTGGAGAATAAACCACTGATGCGCGTTCCCAAGCGTTTTGATTATTGGTTTATTCTTCCTCTTTTACTTACGACGTCGACTCCAACTCCGTCGATTTCTAGTCATTACCCTTGCTTTAGATATCAAGAAACCAGCGGAGCCGCTTGAAGAAACTGTCTGTGAATAAGTGGCCAATGGTTTCACATTATGATTAAGATTGTCTTCCTCTAAAGGTTTAGAGCATATAGAGATTATAGATTCAAGACAGAATAACAGGTGAATGGTTGTCTCTTTGTAGATAGCAATTTTAGTTTAAAATTGGGTGTTAAATGGCCAGAAGTTCAAACTGCAGCATCAACCACAGCATCGTCAACTGAAAACGTTCAGACAAACTCAGTAGAGACGAAAACGCCAGAGTTTGATGGCCGAGTTGGTGAAATTAAAGTTAAGAAAGGTGACGTGTAATTTTTACGACGTTTTTCACTTTGTAAAATGGGCTGTTGTTTATTAGCTCTCTTCTAGCTATATCAGCTGTATATTAGTATCTTTGTACTGATATTCCAAGCACATGTGTTGCACCCTTCTCTTCACTGCGATTATTCCTCAAAGCATGTCCGCTCTGATAAACTGCTCAGAAATTCCTGCACAACCAAATGAAGAATGGCTGTTAATGTTCGACAAGACATATGATCGACTGGCGAATCAGAAGCCAGGCCATCCCGATGCAGCTTTAAGTTCTTTTCGGACTGCCTCAGAATAAGAATGGGACTGACTATTAAAGTCTCCGTCTAGTTTTCTTTTCCTTTACCTGTTCAATTTTGGCCTTCTTACGACTAGACTGTTAAATGGACTTACTGCTCAAACTCATTCACTCTGTCTATCCTTTGAGCTATCGATCTGAAACTCTGGGAAAAGAGAACCGATACTTTGTCACTGTTTAGAAAGTAACATTCCTGTCTTTGAAAGTATCTTCCCTTAGCTTCATCGTCATTATCACTGTAAACAAAGGTTCGCCTATGTTTCAACTTAGCGAGTCGCTATATTATTATAAACCTCTGACATTCAGGGTATTATTCAAAAGGTTAAATACATCGAAGGCTTGGCAATATCATGAATTTGCGACCTCCAACTGGATCACTCCTGCTATGATTTATTTCCCGTCCATTTTATTTATTTTATTATTTTTTTGTTTTATTAAACTTCCACATTTCTTCAGGTAACCTGCTCATATAGTGAGCCACTCCCCTGATAACAGCCCAGTGACGATTATTCTCTTGTCCCCAGTTGTTCGAAAGGTGGATAACGTTATCCATCCGATAAGTCTCTGTCCACTCAATAGCGCAATTGGTTTCCCTAATACTTATCCACTGGATATTGATTTATTCTGTGGATAGTTCTATCCATCGTTTGAACAACCGGGGCCTGATCAGAAGAGACAGGTTCAGAATAATACCCACTGTTCTACCAAAAATATGTTCTTTTCCATTCCACAAAAGCTAACGGCATTTTTCCTTACTAACCAAGCGTACATTTTCTTATTAGAACTCCCCATCATGTGCGACCAACTCTTTTCATAAGCCAGCGATCACCTATCCACAACACCAACATTTTCCCAGTCAAATGGCTTTTAGTTGGAACCTCTTTTAAGCGACTGCTTGATACATGGTCTGATCTCTATGTTCGCTGTATGTACTACGCTACTCAGAGCATACAAAGAACTTTTAGTGGCAACACGGATTTTAACATATCGTAGCTTAGAGTTAAAATTGCATGCAGTAAATTCTCCTTCAAAAAGAATATGTTTCGGGGCCTCGGTGGTTCGATTCTTATGAGCGACCACTGAATCTTTGCATTTTGGCTGGTCTGTTGAGGTCACAAATGTCATAATTAATTGGTGCCAAATGTAATAGGGGTGTTAGTTGTGACAAGAAATTGGTGCCAAATGTAGTAGGGTTCCAAATGCAATACGAAATCGGTTCCAAATGTATTAATGAGGAAGGTCACAAATGTAATAAAAGGGATGGCCTTCATATTACGTTCTTGGTCACAAACGTACTCCCGCGAACGCGGGTAGAGAGACGGCTGAAAATACGTTTGCGTTCGCAGCAAATTCATTTTTGCCCCATTTTGTGTTATGTCAATGATCAATGATTCAAGTCCTAAACACGCTTTGCACCAACATTTACGTTTGCGACCTACCACTTAGAATATTTGTGACCCATTCCTTACTATAACCGCAAACCTTACTACTTTTATGACCCACCCCAACCCCCATTACATAATCAAGTAACCCTTGTGACCCATTTCTTATCACAGTGTGGTGACCCTCATTACATTTGCCACCAATTTCGCATTGCATTTGGCACTACCACCAGTTATTACATTTGTGACCTCAACTAGTCGCTTACGGGAGGCTCGACTGCATCAGCTTTTGAGCCTTTTAAGGCATGAACTCTGGTCGAATCAAGGTGTAAGTATTTTTTTATCAAAAGTCATAACTCATTCTCAAGACATTTTCTCATCTTGTTCCCCTACAGAATTAAAAGCTTGGAGGGCTGTTGCAATAGTTCTTGTTTGCACCGTTGTGTTCTCATTTGCTTTGATCTGCTTTCTGTGTAGGTAAGTTAACTCCAGAAAAAAATCATTGATTAAAAAAATTCTTGAAGCTGAAAATCATTCCATTAATGTAATCCAGTATCCAATATTGAAGCAAGCGTTTCCATGTCTTTCCATCATTTAGTCTCTTGACAGTGAATTTTTAATAGAAAAGGTTTTGTTTACTGAATTGTTAAAGCAACAGTTTAAACTGTATGAAACTCCGTTTTAGTCATTGCTAATATTTTTAAATGATTTATTGGACAGAAAATTCCGTAGGCAGCAAAACTCTTCTCAGGATACGAAAATATAGGAGTGGCTTAATATGCTAATGGTAGAGGATATGATGGAAGTCACGTGTTTCTTCAAGAGGAGTAGAATGTTGTGTACTTTAGTGTGTGGTATGACATCAATTGTGCAGATTCCGTTTGCTGAATGCGGTCATTAGAGTCCATCAAGACTGATTTATACCTAGAAGAATCTTCAAGTTTTTTCAAACAAAGGCCTTTCTCAGCTAGAACTGTGTCAGCTCACACTCCTCCATGAAGCCAGCCGTACAATTCAGGAAGGTATCGCCCGCCCGATCTCCGACTTTCTGCGTAATTGGTTTCTGACTCTGTATATCTGAATGTTACAGACGTTTTAATCAAACGCATTTTAGATCAGCCTCAAAACTCTCTGTAGCCTGCATAGCTGGCGAAATTGTCTTCGTGCGTGTGAGTGTTTTGGCAGCGAAGCCGCCATTCGCCGCTACTAGCCGCTAGAGGTAATCTCAAGGCGTCTCTTCCCCATTCTCCTCGTTGCTTCCAAGCTCTTCTTCCTTAATGCGTGCACTGACGATATCGCCAGCTCCACAGGCTAAACTGTCTGAAAAAGGTCTTTACCTTAATAATAATAAGGTATCCAACACTTTGCGTCAGTAACAAAGTTCTAATTGCACGAAAAAAGGGCCAATTAACGACTGTTGTCAGAGAACCTATTTCGGATATTATTGAATGAATAATAATAATAATAATAATAATAATAATAATAATAATAATAATGATAAGTATCAGAACAATAAGTAATATTTACAATTTCAAAATTATGTCGTATTGTTTACAAATTAAAAAGTGAATATATGTCCACGATAGAAAACTATTTACAATTGTGAATAATATAAAAGTGGGAAAAGGAAAATCAAGCATTACTAAGAAGAAAACTATCAAAAATCTAGGTCTAAAATTAATGATAATGGTAATAATAATAATAATAATAATAATAATAATAATAAGAAGAAGAAGAAGAAGAAGAAGAAGAAGAAGAAGAAGAAGAANNNNATGATAATGATAATGATAATGATAATGATAATGATAATGATAATGATAATGATAATGATAATGATAATGATAATGATAATGATAATGATAATGATAATGATAATGATAATGATAATGATAATAATAATAATAATAATAGGGGTTTTAGGATACCACGACGGCAACGGTCGGGACTTTGGCGGAAAAAAATTTTAAAAAAAGATATTATCTAACAAATAAATAAACTAAGAAAATTCCTTAGGGGTAGGACTGCGCTACAGCACTTATAAAAAACTATTTAAATTAAATAATTAAATAAATAGAACTAAATAACAGATTAGAGTTGTTCAAGATGCCTGACTTCATAGGTGTTGCTTCCCAGGTCTTTGATGCCACTACACTAAACCTTGCTAGGCCACAATTAGTTCTGGAAAACGGTCTGCACAGGTTTTGATTAGTGGCATACCTAGTATTATAATTATGGACAGCTGAAGCCGGTTGAGGGCAGGAGGTGTATCCTTTTTTGATATTGAAATTTATGCACAAGAGCGCCAATTTTTAATTTAAAGATATTCTCTAACTTTAAGATTTCTAATAGTGTAAATTACGGTGTGGGACTTTCTCTTTTGTTTGTAAAGAAGATGCAGCGAATATACAGTTATTTTGACTTACTTTGATTTTATTTAATTTAGTTTGGTAAGCGGTACCCCAGCTCATTATTAGGGAGCTTTAGCATCGACGACGGCAACGGCAGCGAAAACGTCAGTTTTAAAATGAATTCCCGTTTTTTCAATCTCTGTCGCGTTTATTCCAAGTTGCTGAAAATGGCAAGTGCAGGGGAATTTCCCTGGAGTTGATTTCTTGAGGACCGCACTCAAGTTTAGAGAGAGAAAAGCAGATTCGTCGTCGCTTGTTTACGTCGTCCGTAAAACTTGCAATTAGGCATTTTCACGTCGTAGTCGTGCACGGACGGTGAAGAAATGTACAAAAAAGCGTGATGCACGTGCAAAGTTGTTAATTTGCGTAATAAACCTATTGATTTTTTGAAGTCCTGGTTGCCGTCGCCGTCGTCGTTGCTAAAGCTCCCTATTAATCCACCATACGTTAGATACGGATATATGAGAGTACATATTGTCTAAGCTTAAAGAAGATTCCAATGTTCTTTTGTTATTTTGTTGTTAATGTGCTGGAGCTGAGCATCCCATTTTAGATGTTCATCAATAAAGACACCCAAATATTTAAACAGGGACTTTTGCTCTATATTACATCAAGCTGTTATTCTGATATTTGTTTTCTTCTTAGGTGAAGTAATTATCATGTAATTAGTCTTCTTGAAGTTAATGGACACCATATTTGCTGCACAGAATTTTAAGCCCTTTCCAAGTTCTTCATTGATAACTGATTGTAATTGTTCTGGGTCTTTTGAAGAATAAAACATACTTGTATCATCTGCAAAAATCCTAAAAGACAATTTCTTCGAAGACCTGGACAAATCGTTAGTATACAATAGAAACAGTAGTGAACCTAGTGTAGAGCCTTGAGGTACACCACATGTGACGGTTTTCAGGCTAGATTCTGTATTACCAACTTTGACATATTGCTTACGATTAGTTATGTAGCTTGAAAACCATGCATAAAGTCCTCGGATCCCATACTTATATAATTTTTGCAAGAGAATATGGTGGTTAATTGTATCAAAGGCCTTGGAAAAGTCTAAAAAGGTAGCACATGTTATTTTCTGATCGACATCTGCTCACTTTAATTTTTCCACAGTTTCTAGAATGGCATATTCAGTGGAATATCCCTTTCGGAAGCCAAACTGGAAGTTAAAAAGTAGACATTCTTTTTCCAGATAGGACACAAGTTGGTCATACACTAGTCTTTCCAGTACTTTAATAAAGGGAGAAATAACTGCTATTGGCCCGTAATTTCCTAACTCAGATAGACTACCACTTTTAAATATTAAGGTTACTTTTAATATCTTAAAGATTTCAGGAACCTCCCCTGATAATATTGATTCATTATATATTTCAGTAAAGGGTGCAGAGAGCTGTTCAGTTGCAAGTTTAATAAGCTTGTTAGGAACAATAAGGGATGCTTTGTTTTCTTTTAGCCCAGCAAAGAATGCAAATACTTGTGTTTGGGTTACTGGAGCAAGGTAAAAACTGTTTGATGGCGTAGATTCTATATATTGCAAAGGGTCTGTATGACCAGTGTTGATTTCCTTTGCCAAAGTTGGCCCAACGTTTACAAAGAAGTTATTGAATAATTCGCAATGTCCTTTTCTTGCGTAAAAGTCCTGTTATTGTGAGTGATTCTCATGGGGAAAGTTTGACCTTTGGTTTTCCTTTTAACAAGAGTTTCAATCAGTTTCCAAGTTTGCTTAAGGTTGTCTTTGTACTTTGCAATTTGCATGTTTTGGTATTCTGTCTTACGTTTATTCTTAAGATGTGAAAGAATAGCTGCATAATGTTTATATTCCCCGATTTTTTTGTAAGTCCTTGCTTAAGAAATTTGTACGGTACATTTTCTGTTTCCTTTTTACCGATTTTAGGATACCCTTAGTGAACCATGGCTTATTAAGTTGCCTTTGCTTGCTTTGGCTGGTCAGCTTGGTAGGCGCATGTTTGTCTACAATTTTATTCAGGGTATTGATTGCCTCCTGTACTTTTTCCCTAGCCAAGCAGTGTTTAAGAATGTTATGTAGACGAGAATAAATTTCGTTCTAAAGCTATTCGTGTGTCTAACGTGTGTGGTAAACTAACTATTACAGCAAGTTGTTTAGTCAAAGTGTGGATCCAGTTGTAAAATCTGGGCACATTGAGACACCTAGCATGCGCAGTGTCTCTGAAGAAGGCTTGCACTTTGCCTAGTCCCTGTACGGCGTTCTCCCAGTCCCTATCGGTCAATTCACATTTTCGTTTGGACCACGTGACCCGAAACGCTTTGGCCAGTGATATATAGAAGCTTAATCTTCGGTAATAGGTCAAAACCTTACAGCGTTGTTTCGTTTGCATTTTTAATGGTAACTAAAGTTTTGAAGCCTTTGTTAGATCTTTTCGTCTTTATAAGTTGAAAACAATTAAAACTTTTGTTGTGCTTCTTTTTCACGGCTCTGAATGGAATTTATTAGAGTTTGGATGAAAAGATTGCCTAACGGCAAATATAATGCCTTTGCGACACAGTCACAGTAGATTTGTGATCGGTCGGACTTAATTAAGTTAATTCACTTGAGTTGCGCATTCTTGGCGTTCCTCATTCTTTGAATAATAAAACAATTTCAATTTAGGATACCTACTTCACGCGTAAAAGGTTTTTTTTTTTTCAATACCGTCACGGGAAGAACTTCAGTCCATTTTCTTGTGTCCTTTACATAGATCTATCTTCCTTTTTCTTTTCTTTTTGATTTCTTAATTGTAAATTACTTTATTTTTTCCCCCGCCCACCTCGATTACATGTCGATTAGCCAAGCTATATGCGACAGCCAAGCAGAAGATGTTTTGTATGTAGACTGTTCACAGTCCCCTATTTTTTCGTGAGATCGTTTAGATATACCGCGTCTTTCTGTCACGTCTATCTTGATTTTCAAAGAGTAGTTTTGACACTAATGCAAGATGGCAGCCCGTAACGCAAAGCGCTCGATCTCGACGATCGTACGGGAAAATAGAGGACTGTGAACAGTCTATTTTGTATGTCATGTGTGTTGAGTTTAATTTAATGATTTCATGTGAATCTGCTATGGATTTCTAGAAAAATGAAGAATTCAAATTGTGCAGTAATTTTTAACTAAATAAGACATATTACAAATATCCCCCCTCCAGAAGATGTCTATATCCAAAACTCCCCCCTCCTCAGTTTGTACGACATTTGTATGTTCTGGTTTTTTGATTTTAATTAATTGTTTCATGTGAATCTTCTTAGGAATTTTAAAAAAAAGAAAAATTCAAATTGTGCAATAATTTTTAACTAAATAAGACAAAATACAAAATTCCCCCCCCCAGAAGATGGCTAAAACCCAAACCCCCCCCCCCCCCGTTTGTACGAAGGCCCAAAAATGTACCCCCCCCCCCCTCACCACCACCAAAAGAACGTCAGATCAAAACATCAAAGCTATTGAAAAGAAATGATATAACACTCTAGAGCTAATATTATTGAGGTTATTAAACTTTTGATATTTTCAGATAGAATACCGCTTTCCAATAAACCATAGTCCAGTTTAATGCTATCTTTCCGAGATTCTCAGAATATTAAATGCACTCAACAAGGAAGCTGTTTGTGAGGGCAAAATGCGCACGCACTTCAATATTGAAACACGGAAACCAGAATGAGAGTTATCTTAAGTAAACTGATTCTTATGGCAGAATTTAATATGTCTACTTGTCATTTTTGCTGATCAGGTCTTTATAGTCAAGAAGAACTTCTGTCCATCTTCTTGTGTCAATTTATATAGATCTATCTTTCTTTTCTTTTCCTTTTCTTAATTTCACCCAAGTAAATAACTTTATGTTTTTGTCTGCCCGCCTCGATTAGCCAAGTTATATGCGAGCAGAGGATATTTGTATGTACAGGCAAGTATTTTGGAATTTAAAGTAATTTGATTAATTTGAAACTTCTGAGCCGTCTTGGTACCTGTTCGCTCGATCCAATTACACCCACACCAGAAAAATTTGAAACTTCTGTGGACTTGTTACAAAAAATGAAGAAGTTACAATTTAGAGTGTGAATTGAGCCGCCTTGGTACCTGTTCGCTCCATTTACACCCCCACACCAGAAAAAGTCTCACAACCCCTCTTTTCTTTTTCTTTTCTTTTCCTTTTTATTTGTTTTACAAATATTGGCACTCACTTTTCTAATCGCTTCTAGTTGCCTTTGTCGAAAACTTGTCGTAAATGTTCGGCCCATGCTCGGCCACTCAGGCCAGGCTTTCGAACGGCTGGTGCTGATCTCCCAATGTCACGCAGCTTTTACGGTGGGTCACACAACGTGCCGTGAATAGATTTAATTTGATTTTAAGAGGAGCGAGACAGGAGAAATTTGCTTACAAGTAAAATCTAATTTTCTTCTATTGTTTTTTTCCTTTGAACCACAAGTTGACAGCAAGTTAATAGTTTTTAACAATCCAGCGGTTAAAATATAAGCCTCTGTCACAGAATTATTTCACGGCGATTGAATTCATTAGTTAAATTTTATTCGTGTCATTTCTTGTCTCTTCAACCGGAAAACGAACACAGCATATACTAAAATATTTATGAGCAAAAAGCCAACTTCTCGAACAAAGTGTCCTTGAGAAGCAAAACACCGGCAAACTCGTGTTTTGATTGGTGGACCTAAGATTGAAGTGTCCGATTACCCGTCAACTTCACAAAACTCGACTGTGCATTTTCTCAGAGAACAAAATCTCTTTTATATCGCCTGGATGTTCCTGCGAGAGAATGGCCGCATGGTTTTCATTCTGGTTCGTACTGAGCGGTTTTTCTGTGACATTTCTCGCCGGTGACAAATTGCATCGTTTAAAATCTGCGGCCTACGACGAACTGTACTCGGATGCGAGACATGCGTACAGCAATGAGAAGTGGAATGAAGCTGTTGATTTATTCGAGAAAGCGATTGCTGACTACAATCACGAGAAAGAAGTGAAAATTTACTGCAGATCTCGATGTAGGGATAGATTCAGAGCTTCGTCTTCTCATAACTTGATAAGTGATTTCGAGCTAGACTACTATCGCTACACTATTTATTCTCACAAGTGTTCACAACAATGCAGGGAAAAATATCTTGGAAAACGGACAAAGGTTTCTGCAGCAGTGAAGAATGATTTTGAATCAAGGAAGACGTATGCTTATCTGCAGTTTGCTTACTACAAGGTGGGTCATAAGTGTATGATTTGTTGTTTACTACATATGTATTTCAATTCATAAACAAATAACGCACACGGATGTGGATTTGTTCATATTTTGTCATATCTTGTTATGCAAATGGCAAATGTCATTGGCTTCCCCTTGGGGTCAGACCCCAGGTTACCCAGGGGGATTGTATAATTGGTGGAGCAAAGTTGATAATTCCCCCCAGGAATGGGGGAATAACAAAAAGTCCTTTGGTTCAACTGCTTCTCAATGGAAAATCCCCCTGATATCCTAAGCCTCAAAGCCTCACTCCCTTATTTGGCCTATACAGGTATGTGTCGCTGAACAGGGTATGGGTTTCAAGGTCTTAAGTGTCACACAGGGTATGCAATTTCACTATTAAGCATCTTGAACAGTCTTTTTGGACTGGAAGCCTTTCAAAGAGTGTGAAGACTTGCAATGAGCGGTCTACATTAATGCAATACCAATATTTTTTCCTAAATATCCATTTCCACGATTTTAGTAGGAAAAATTACTTAATTCGGTATACAAAACAATACAAATCAGGGTCAGAAAGTGGCATCTCCTGTCTTAAACAGGGTAGCGAAATGAGCAATTTTTGTCTTAAACAGGGTCAGGGCTTGAAGGCCTCAACGGCACAGCTCAACATAGACTTGAGTGCCCCCCCTGGGAATTCCCTCCCCCCCCCTTCCCCCTTTCCTTTGAACTTAAAAGGAAAGGGCAGAAACCAATCCATCCCCTTGTTTTCACCAACATATTCCCCTGGTTTGCCTGGGGTGCTACCCCAGGGGGGCTGAAGCCGAAAACGTGCATTACCATTGGAACAAAATACACCAGGCAGCTGTCATAGATGCTTCCATCTGGAAATGTCTTATTACAAGACTTACCTGTAAATACTATGTGACAGATACACAGTGGATGAAGAGCATGTTTAGGAGACTCTGCGTAAATAAATAACTCGCAAATGCAACAGATAGCTAGTTCTTTGCAAAACTGTAAATAAATGTCAAATGTACCCTCCAACCGCCCCCTCATCAGTTTGCCGAACCTCTAACAAAGACATCAAGTCTCTCAATAAAAATCATTCTTGTTTCTGTCACATGCTTTCAGTCTCTTTCATAGCTTGATCAGAGACTGATCAGGGTACTTGAATGTACATGTATGCTAATGGTACAAAAATTGTAAACAAGGATTCATGAACCCTTATAAATGCTTGTATTCAGTAGGCTATAGCAAAATGTACTCGACAAAAAAGAGTGAAATAGAATGTTTACAAGGGTTCACCTGCATTATATTTTAGGTGGAAAGGTTGGTGGACGCAGCAAGAGCTGCGTACACATGCACTGAGATCCAAGCACAGGATAAAACCATGGCTGAGAACGTCCATATCTACAGAAAAATGCCGGGAGTAGAGGAAGCTGGTATCAATTCCTTAGAGCCTACAGTGCACCAAGAGAACTACTTTAATGCTGCCAAATTATATGAACAAGAACAGTGGCATGAAGCCATCCAGACTTTTGAAGAGGCTTTAAAGGAGTATTACATTGCTTATGAAAATTGTAAGACTATATGTGAAGAGGAACGAGAGCAGAACAAGATCTTAAGCAGGTCTGGTCTGTTTGGTGTACATGTTGATGTCTTGAAATGTCGCACTAGATGCCCAGATAAGCTCAGAAAAGTTAAGGGAATCTATGTTCGGAACTATCTTGCAAGACATTTTAATTATCTTCAGATGGCTTATTATCAAGGTAAGGCATTGACTTTTTAACACAGAAAATTCTGCCAAATGGGCGATTCCAGTAAATATCCATACTATACCACGGACGGCTTTTAGGATTTCCGAAGGGGAGGGGGGGGTTCACGATTATGGAATTCTGAGGGCATGGGGGGTATTTACGATTGGAAATCCGAAGGCATGGGGGAATTCCACAGGTGGGATTTCTGGAGTAGAAAGTGTAGAGTGAGTTCCTTGAAAATGCTATTGTGGACTTTTGTAGTTCGTAAATAAACCACGAACGTATGACTGCGGAAGCAGAAGACAAGACTCGATAGATCAGACATGTGTTTACAATCATAACTTATAGAGGTGAACAGTAAAACTTGGGTTTACATTTACCTTGATGAATTTCTTGTAAAACTGAAATAACTTGCACCAGTTCCTTGCTTCCAAGGAACGCCTGTCAGGGTTTTCATGCACACTACATGACCTATAAAAGGACGCAACAAGACTCGACGGTGTATTTGACCGCCAAAAGATTTCAACAGTCTGAATTTGAGCTATTTTGCTTTGTAAACGTCAAAACAGCACAAGAAAACAAAGAGGAGTAAAATTACCGTGAGTGGTGTTTATTTTTATAGCCAAATTCGGACTTAAAAAGGAGTTTGCACAGCCTGGCCGCTAGCGGTAGGTTTTTCTTGTCGCTGTAGAGTAAAGCTTGTCACCTGGCGCCGCTAGATCACAGCCTTGAGGAGGCATAAATTCAAGTTCGTTTGTTCATATAGGCGTTGCTAGGTTGAAAATGTACTTCCAAATAAAAACTGAAATTCTGAAGGGGAGGAGGGGTTCACGATTATGGAATTCTGAGGGCATTGGGGGGGGGGGGGGGGGGGGGAACCGTTTTTGGGATTTTCCGGGGGAAGAGCCCACCCGGGGGGGGGGGGGGTTTTTTTTGGGATGTGCCAATTTGAAATTTTTTTTTGTTTTTTGGTCAGACTTTAATGGCCCTTTTTTTTGGGATGGGTTGTTTTTAGAGGGTACTTTTTCAAGTATAGTGTGTTTTGTTTGTTTTTTTATTCAGATTCGCCGCCCCCCTCCTCTGACCCGCGCTCCCCCCCGCCGCGTCTGGTGGGGGTGGTGGTGGGGGGGGGGGGGGGGGGGGGTGGGGTGGGGGGGGTGGGGGGGGGGGGGGGGGGGGGGGGGGGGGGGTAACGCATTTTGGAATTTCCGAAGGCAGAAGCCGTCCGTGGTTGGGTGTGGATATTTTCTGGAATTGCCCAATTTGAAATTGTTTTTGCTTTTTTGGTCAGACTTAAATGGCCCTTATTTTAGGTAGAGGTTTCTTCTACAGGTCACATTTTACAGGTCATGATTACAAATCATTCTTTTACTGATAGGAAACTAAACCAGATAGTTTACCAACATTTTGGATAGGGATGAGGGTTCAGAGACACTTCTGGTCCTGTTTATTTACTGTGTAGCCTGGTAACCAGTATTCGGACCCGTGGAATACCCAATGTCTATGCTCAGTAAGGCTCATTTGGGTGTGGTTTGAAATATCTCTTAAGTTAGGCATTTAACTTGTGTATTTTTGACTGAAGGCGGATGAGTGATCTCCGCAGACAAGGGGTGTGATTCCACATGGCTATGGGCAGTAATGGTGTGTGAATAGATCTGGTGGGGGAGAGGCTTTCAAAGAAAGTTTGGGTGTGGGTGTGCCCCCTGTCTAAGACAAATAACCTTATTTCACGATCCTCATTTATTTCATTTTGCATTTCAAATTTTTGTTGCCGATCTATCCATCAAAGGTTTATCCTGGGAGGTCCAACCCCAAACCCTTGTCCTAGCTTTTATAATACCACTAGGGAACTTAAGATAGAGACGTTTTCGGGGCGACGGCAACTTCAACCGGCATGACATCATCATTTGTTGGATATTGCGCATGCTCGTGCTCACCACCTTGCCGTCGTGGTCCCGTCGGCGACGTGAAACTGGTCTGTTTGGCGTTGTGGCGAAAACATGAGTATTTAACTTTCATTTCAATCAGGTTTGTTGCGTTTAGCAACCAAAATTTTGCAGATTATCGTTCTTAAATTGTCCTCGTTTTCTTTGAGGCACATTCAAAGCTCGATTTCCAAGCTCTGTTATCTAAATTACATCTTTGAATGTTTTCATGTCACAGGGTCAAGATCCAACTTGGCAAACAGCCAACCGTAAGTGAGCTTGACATGGACAAAATTCTCCTTCAAGCCAAATAAAAGTATCCAGACAAAAAATATGAACTCCGATATTTCAATTGTGTGTTTTTAGTTCGCTCTTTTCGTTAGAATATCGTATAAATGAAACGCATTGAAAATTATATAGAATAGTAGGTAATACCATGTACTAACTCAGCGTGGGAATACTGTAATAAAGTTGTTGACGTTGTTGTTGTTGTTGCATGCAAGTATTTCCCGGGAATTATTTCAATACCAACTAAGAATACGGTTCCTTGGTAGCATTTTAATGTTCCTGTAATTTGCAACGCTTCGGCAAGCCTGTGGAGATCATTTTTTTTTTCAACACGAAATTCTACCCTGAACTCAGCTGCATCCCGCATGTTTTTTAGCGTGAACGGATCGTAACTGTCCCGAGGAAAATCGGGATTTTTGGACTCATAATTTTCTCACAAAACGAGAAACTCTTCATCCGATGCATGTTGTCTGCATAGCAAATATTTATTCTCTTAATTCTTTATGTGAAGCCATATTTTCCTCTTCGGTATTCTTCTAATTAAAGGCGCCGTCCTTCTGAGTTCACTGCGATCTTAATGTTCTATTTTTGACGGGAAGCGACGGCTGCCTTAGTTCCAGGCTTTCTCTGCCAGTCCGGTCGCCGTCGCCCCGAAAACGTCTCCATCTTAAGTTCCCTACTAATTCTTTGACAGAAACGTCACCCCTTTCACATACCTAGCTTAGAACATTTCATCCCTTTTAACTACTGTAAATCCATTGTCTTAAAAACATGAGTAATTTTCTCTATTTTTTTAAAGTCAAAAAAATGCATCTGTAAGCCCTTTTGAGCCTTTTTCTACATACAGAATTGTCAGATTTCCCAACCTTTGATAATACTTTGATTAGTGAAATCCCTACCCTTTCATATACCTAAAGCATGAAAAAGGTACCTATTTCAGGTGGAGCCACTCCATTGCAGTTAATATCCTTTTTGCTTGGTTTAATTAAGAGTCTTATGATTTCTTTTTCAGTGGACAAGCTCTGGGAAGCCGCTAGTTGTGCTGCATCTTATTTATTGTTTGATCCAGATGATGATACAATGATTGACAATCTCAGATTCTTTCATCATCAACTTGGAAATGATGGCATAAAAATAACAGCTCGAAGGGTAAAGCTGCATCTTAAGCTATTTTCAATCAATATCTGTTATTTCTGTGTTGTGCACATGGTGTACATGTACATGAGTGTTTAAAATATTTCCTCAAACATGCACAGAAAACCTCTCTTTACAGTAAGTGTCAAGGTTTTCCCATTTATTCTTTACAAGAAAAGTTCCAGACTATTTACATTGTATTAAGTTAGTATAGTTAAAGGCCATTATTACTATCATGCAGAACCATAAACAAAACAGTCAATCCAATTGTTGTCCTTCGACACTATACATGTGCTTTCAGGTCTTTGAGGCAAAATCCTATAGTTTGGCCATGCATTCCAATGAAATTTCCCCATCAGTACTTTATTGTGGTACTTTTTGCTCTTTAATACTTGACATGATATTGTTTTTCAAAATATTGATTTGGATGATCAAGTGGAGTGAAGGGATTTAGGTTTTCATAGTAAATTCCTCTCCTCATTCACTGTGTTAGCTTTACTTCTTTTTATTTCAAACTTTATGAGCATGCAGATGTTGATTTTGACATTGGCATACATGTATGCCAAACATTTATGCAGTTTCATCATTATGTTATATGTTAGATAAAATATCTTTGCATACTTACTCATTACTCTACTGATTATGGGTTAAAAAGCAGTGTTGACTCATATAAGCACAGATGTCAAATTAAGTACATCTAATAATTAAAAAATAATAATTAGAAATGTGTGCCTGGCTTATGTAATAGCAATGTACTGTTCCAAACATATATTGCTGCAATATTTTCTCGGACCAGAGTGTGGAGGGGTGTTGTAGACCACTCAGAACATCCATTGTCACATGTGATTGTGGTGACACATTGTTTGATTTTAGGATGCCATTCGCCATTTCAAAGAAACAGCCATAGAGCGTAAGCTGCTGCAAATGGCTGATGTTTATATGGCTGAAGCTGATTTTGATGACAGTGATACATGGTTTCATGATGGAAAAGATGATGAACCTGAAGATGTAAACATTGAGGTGAGCTCATGAATAATGTCAATTACATGGATCTAAATCTGTGATGTGTTCAGTTGGACCTGCAGACCATTATAATTATGTTACAGGGAAATGTTTATCAACTCTTGTACATGTAGCTACAGTTGCATCTGGAAGATTAATTATCATGTGGCTCACTGTCAACTTAATAATAGTAATTATAATAATAATAATAATAATAATAATAATAATTTTTTAATAAATTTTAAATTGAACATATTTTATTGATAACAAAAATTAATGCTAGCTATTAAAATCCTATTTACAATAAATTCACTTAAAAAAAATTTCTTCCATCAAAACACTATTTACAATACCTTTTGTTAAAAAAACACTTATTTTTGATTAGAAAAAATTCATTTAATTTTAAAAAAAATTTTTGAGTTAAAAACATTTCATTTCAATTAAAACAATCCATTTTGATTAAAATAAAAAAGAAACTATAATGATAATAATAATAACGTAACCTCTATGGGTAGTGGATGTTAGCCCGAGATGCGGTCATGTGATTCAGATCAATGGCAGGGCTAAAAAAAAGTCCTGTCCACTAGTCTCAGACAAGTAGATTTTCTTGCTGGGCAAGTAAACTTTGAAATCAATCAATCAAAAACTTTATTAGAGTGTCTGAGCTTCTAGCTCACCACAAGTGGTGCACTACTTGGTAGAAAACTCACTTGCCCAATGTTCGAGGGTCAAGGCAAGTCATCCTCTAACAAAAATAATCATCAAAATGTGAGGACAGCTTGAACAAAGGACAAGCTGGAATTCAAGATTTTTTCGAACCCTGAACGGATGACCCTTCATCATCTGACTATCCATCCACACAGTTGTACAGCTGGCCACATATCTCAGAAGTTTTTGGATGGATACATTTAGGTGACAAGCTAAGATTTCATTATCCTTGGTGTTACTAACACTTGTAAATGCACCTACTTTTGGTGCGTGGGACTCTGATATAAGTTTGCTACTGCTTTTGGTGTGCAGCTCTACCTAAAGTTTAGTCACTTCTATTCCTTTGGCATGATTAGCTCTGCTGTAAGTTATGCTTAATTTGTTCGTTTGTCATGAGTACATGCAGCTCTGCTATAAGTTTTGCTTTGGTTTAAGGACTTGATGCAAGATGAAGAGAATGTTTACTCATTAGAGAAGCTTTGGGGACTGGGGCCCATCAAGAAAGAATCACCAGTTCAGAATCCACAAGATGTTGTTAAATTTGACAGATATAAGGTGAATACTAAGATCTATGGTCATATTCAATATCATCATTATCGATACAATGTACCTTGAGAGAAACATAGAACATAGAACTTAGAATCAATCTAGTTGTGTTGTGCATTTAAGACTTGGTGGGTTACAGGGGTTATATAGGGAAATAAAATTTGAAGTAAGCAGCTGTTTTGAGGAGAAAACTTATAAGGTTTCAGCAACATTTGAAAGAATCTTTCTGTAATGACTGTAATTTTGGGTGAAAAGTAGTCAACGTATTAAAACAAATTAAGGAGCCAATCCTTTATGTTGGCTGTTAGTTCTTACTGGAAATGACATTCTTCAGATGTCATTTTGCAAAGAAACCAGTGTTGGCTAGAAAAATGTTGGCTGTTTCTTAGGCTAAGGAATGTTGTATCCACACTAGCACTGTAGGGGGTATCTGAACTTTCTTCCTTTCTCTTCTTTGTAAAGGGGTCAAGGATCTTAATGACTGAGAAAGATTTGAATGGGACTGCAAGGGTTGCAGTGGATGGCATGGCAACAGAAGAAGAATGTAAAATGCTTATCAAACTTGCTGAGGTATGCAGTTCGTTTTCTTCACCTTAATCGCTGCTTATTTGTTAAATGCGTTAGATCTTCACCATCAGTTTGCATCACCATTCGATTCACACATGTACAAGGCTGAATTCTCTCAGGGTTTGTAACTCAATCAACATTCCTGAAAAATTACAGGTGTTCACTGTTCCTGAGTTGGTGATATTATAACACTTATCATCCGATTTTATTTCTTTTCGTGAAAGACCTTGAAAGGGATAAATTAAAAATCATTCATTCAATGCAGCACATGATGTGCAAGAAAAAGTGACTTGATATTACATGCACTGTAATAATATGATTTATTTCCAATATTTCCAGTCAACTCTTTCTAATCGGACACTTCTCTGCAAGAAAAAATTTTAAAAGTCACATTATAAAGTCCCACTCAGAATGATATGTTCTTATGAATAACACAGAAGTCATTTAAAATTATTGTCAAAGTTGTTAGCAAAATCTCATTATGTACATAAACAAAATATGAACAAAAATTTAAAAAAAGAGTAGTGGTGAATGTATTAAATAAAATAATTATTATCTATAAATGAATGAAAATACGTTAACAATAAAAATCAAGAATCTGAAACTATTCAAAATTATCACAATTTTTGAATTTAAATGATTTAATATTAAATTTTTGTGCTGTTTACCACACTGTTTTTCTTGCAAGTATTTTTTGACATTCAATTAACCCTTTCACTGCCAAACGTGGCCAAAGGCAAATTTCGACCAAATTTCCAAATTGCATTCCCTAAAATTTTGAGAAATAAATAGTATCACGTGAAAGTACAGGAAGAGAGCTTTCATTTGGATGATCACATCATGGGATTTCGTCCGCAGACTCAAAAGTTAGTGTCACCTTACAAAACTCCACCAAGTACTCCGGCTGTGAAAGGGTTAATAGTTCATTACTTGTCTGCAGGTTGTATATTCATATTTCACATTTTCATGTTTTAAATTATTTTGTTTTTATTTAGTGACTACACAGATTTTGCTGCCTCCTTATGTAAGCAATAGTAAACGCAAACCACAAGCTGGCAACTCTCATTAAGATTTAGCAAGAAGCTAGTTGCGTATTCACATAAAAAATTTCCTTACACCACTGTTAGTAGCCTATTACCTCAGGGGCCTGTTTCCCAAACGTCCGGCTAACTTTTGAGGCCCAGAAAGCTGCTTTGGATTTGTTATGTTTGCATTCAAGATCAAAGTTTCAATAATTTTGAAAATAACACAATGAAACTAAATGTGATACAACTCACAAAGGCAGCTTCCCTTTCCCCTCCCCCACCCCGCTCCATTGGCAGCGCTAGTTTTCTAACCAATGTATGCCACAATACTTCTTATATGGTTGTTGCCAGCTTGTGACGTAAATAATCTTAAACAATAACGACATGACCCTCTTAAAATTATCAAATCAAGATTTTCACCAAAGGCACAGTAATAAAGTAAGCCGATTGATTCTAAAAACAGAGCTTGGCCGATATTCAACAAAGCTGGATTCTAAACCTAATACCATAACACTCTGTGCTATAAACAATGTCAAAAAGGCTTGAAGGACGAGCTTGAAAACATAAAATGTACAATGTCCTTGAAATAACCCAGCTACAAACGAATCTAAATGTGAACTGTTTTTGTTAAACCTCGGTCTAAGTTAAAATTATTTACCGTGTGTTTTCGTAATTTGCCGGTAAACCATTGTAACGAACTGAAAGTTTCTTTAACTAAATCTTGAAGAAGTTAGCAAAGTGAATTAAAAAGTGTTTTAATCAAATTGTATTTTTTGTTATGTCTTTGCAGTGGTCTTGCCATTGCAGCAAGTGATCTTTCAATCCAACGCAGATAGATTTTAGGATAAAGAATCATTCTTTGATAAGTTTCAATTAGTTACGCCCGTAGTATCTGTAACTAAACGAACGAGTACTGAACATGACCTCTTGTTTGATCTCTTCGTTTCCATGTTACCGCGAGGTCTTACTGTTAAAATACTCTATGTGTTCAGCTTATCATTTTGGAAGGGTATTCATTAATCGGGAACTGTAGTAGTATTGAAATGAAATTAACTAACAATTTCAAAGTAAAGCCTAAAAACTTCCAGCGGAAGCCTCCTTTAAGCTTCAGTGAAACGGGCAACAAAGACCCGCAACTTGTTTTACAACATTGCTGCAAAGCAAGTTTTAAAGTGATGCTGGCCGTTTTACCGCCCACGTTCAAACCTGAAAGCAACCTGATTTGTTACAAGACAGGTTTGATGTGGGTGGTTAAACGCACAATATCGCTATTCAACTCGTTTTTGCAGCAATGTTACAAGACGAGTTGCATGTTTTTTGATGCCCGTTTTTCCGTAACTGAGATCGCCTTCAGTCAAATCGAACGGTCGAAATACGCAGTTCAGTCGGTGATGGTTGGTGTTTTTAGTCGCTTGATCTTAATTGGAGGTTTCCTCTTTGTCCTTTGAAAAAGCTCACTTGCATTTTAAGTGGTGTTCTTCGGGGAATCGGAAATTAACTTATTTCAAATCGAGGAGGGCTGGGTACGAGCCCGTTTATTATGGGATAAACATCACCAGAGCCACAGGGTCATAACGAGAACATTGAGCTAAGGAAACTTCTCATGTCTGGTGTTAATCGGGTGAATATTGAACAAGATAGAGCTATTTAAAAACTTGAAAATTTACTAAGAGAAGTATGGATTGCCGAACACACTGTTCGGACGTCTTTACATAACCATGGCTCCTGATACCGTAAAATTCCGAAAATAAGCCCCGGGGCTTATATTTTTCAAAGGCCCTTTTTGAGGGGCTTATTTTTGGAGGGGCTTATATTCGGAGGGGCTTATTTATGGAGGGAAATTTGCGTTTAAAAATCGATTGGGCTAGCCTTATAGTTGGAAGTAAATTTACCGTTTTGGCTTTGTTTTACTTTGTGTTTGAGGGCAATTTCCAAGTACAAGCCCCCGGGGGGCTTATATTCGGAGGGGCGATTTAACGGAGGGTTTTTTGCGTTACGAGTTTGGGGGGCTTATATTTGGAGGGCTTATTTTCGGAATTTTACGGTATTTCTTAGTAAATTTTTGAATAGCTGTATCTCGTTCAATATATGCCCGATCAACACCAAACTTGAGGATTTCGTAAATCTCGGTTTCCTCCTTCTGACTTTTGTGGGTCTCTTGTTGTTTATCCCATAATAAACGGTCTCGTACCCAGCCCCCCACGGTTTGAAATTAGGCAATACAGAGCTTCTTCTCTTCGTCGAAGGGTTAGATACCGGTGAGATACGTCGAGCCGCCAACAGTCGCCGTCATGAATACTCGTCTGATCATCATTACGTATTTTTACGAAGTTGCCGTTGGGAATATTTCAACAGTCAATTTGAAAGCGGAACTTTGATTTTCCTTAATGTACTATCCGTTCGCGATTAATTAAGAAGTTTCCTTGATAATAAGCGTAACACCCTGAGTATTTTAACCGTTTTGCAATGAAAAGTGCCAATCCAATTGGTCAGTGAGGGTCATGTCACGCTATACATCTGGATCTTGATCTGTTTGGTCTGTTCTAGAAGACAGCTAAACTTGGAGATGGTTATGATGTCAGAAACAGTGGGGACAAACCGTTTTCTTTTACCGATAAGGAAACATTTTCCGGTGTCAATATACTATCCGCGACAAAGGTGAGTGGCAATCATTATTTCAACCAATCAGGTTCTTGTTTTTTGGTTTTTCTTTCCTTATTGTCAGACCAAAGGTACCGTTTAAGCAAAGGAAAATTTATCGGTGTTTGCTTTAAACTGATTCAACTGTTTCTAAACGAAAATTTGTATTTCTTTGCTATGTCACATCCTAAACAGTAGTTTCCCTAGTTTTTTAACCATGCGCAAATTTCACAGACCGTAGTTCCTCGGTATGTTCGGCTAATAAGGATGGGAGTGGTGGAACGTATTCTTCGGTTAGGTCGTTTATAAGAGCATGGGCACTTTTTCTTGGAAATAAGATAACTTGGTAACTTCGGTTGTACCTTTACGTGTGATGTAAAGGTGACGTTTGTCTTTACGGCTTTAAATCCTAGGATATAACGAAGGGCCAATGGTCTCGCAACATTTGTTCGCTATGACTAGATTTCGTTATGTCGAGGTCTATTTTCATATATTTGACTATCAGTAGGGTTGAAAACATCGTTCGTTATACCGAGGACTTCGTTATATCGAGGTTCCACTGTATTTAGGAGGGTCTTTTGATGTGTTTATTTACTTTCCCTTTACTATAGGCAGCTCTTAACAAAAGGGCGCCAATTGAAGAGGTGGAGCTTTACTTCAACTTGAGCGAGAAAGTTCGGCATTTTACTGAAGATTATTTCCAACTGGAAACACCGCTGTATTTTTCGTATACGCATCTTGTTTGCCGCTCATCGATTGTAGGTGAGTTTAACAGACTAAGGGAGCAACCTGATGCAGTCCTAGGAACGGGGTTGCAAGTGGAGCCGGATTGAAGCCGAATTCACAAATCTAAACATAATTGACAACCATTTAGCCTTGACGAGTTGCAGCTGTTTGAATTGCCCATAACGTAGCAATTTTTATCTTAACTAAAAGAACACAATACTACAAGAACTTCGAAAGAATTTGGCGTTTTGAACAAAATAAGATTTTTTAAGATTTTTTTCTTTTAATGTTACACCCGCACATAATAGCAAAGTTCAATAACGTACTCTTGTTTCTGAGCGTTTTATTCTGTTTAAATCTCTTAGTCATGAAACATTACATTCGTTAACACTGCGGCCACAAAAAAGCGCAGTTCACAGCTTAATAGGGTCTGTGGTAAGAGAAAAATTCAAGTGTGTTTGTTTTCACATTCAGACCCGAAGTCGCCCGATGAAGAATTCCACTTAAGTCACCCTATTCATTCGGACAACTGTATCCTCAATCGTGACGGACAAGGCACTTGCCCTAAAAGGTCGCCAGCTTACACTTGGAGAGACTTCAGGTTTGTACAACAAGCCCAACATTGGCTTTGTTTTAAACTATCTTATTCTGAGTTAGCCTGAGCATCGGGCTTTTTTTGGGGGGGAGGGGGAGGCGAGGAGAGATCTTCACTCTCCTAGCTATCCCCTGAGAAACAGGGATGTGGCTGTAGCGATGATTTTTTTTGGACCAAATTCTATCACGTGACCATTCAAATAAAACCTCTTCATGACCCCGGGTCATTCCAAAAATGATTAATTTAAGGGCCTTCTAAGTCATATTTTAACCGAAATTGTGTCGTTTACGAATTTTGTACTTGTTCTGTTACTAAGGAATTTATAATATTGTCAAGCCTTTAATCAGAGACCCAGACTATGCTACATAACTCAAAGTGATACTCTAGGAACGCGCTAAACAGCCTTCGAGCTACTGGGCCTAGCGTTTTATAGTTTATTGTATTTTTTAACTATTATTGATTTTACCTTTCATTCATAGACTTCTTTTAATTATTTATGAACTCTTTGTTGTTGTTCTTAGTGCGCTGTTGTATCTGAATGGTGATTTCAGTGGAGGAGAGTTTCTGTTTGCTAATCCTGATGAATCTATTCAGGTATAGACCGATGTTGAAAAAAAATGCGTGGTTGTTTACTGGTTCTTTGTGTAAAACGACTTTTACCACACGTTCTAAACGGACACTTCACGTCAAAAAAGTGTACGCGGTGTAGTTCTCGTCCAACGTGAAGTCAAACTGTGGGATAGGATATTTCTGAGGGTAGAAAAAGTTGAAAACTAAAAATTGTATGTTTTAAAACTACGCTAGTCTTAAGAAAGGAAGGGGTTAGGATAGGGGTGGGAGGTGGAGGCGAAGTAACCAGATAGCCAAAGAGCCCTTTCAAACCTCAATTTTCTTCTTTTCGTCAGGTCTCTTCGAAACTGTAGTTAACTTGCTGTTGCTTTTAAACTCACCATTTAATCTTGAAATCTTATACTTGAAAATTTTACGCTTATACGGATGGTGCTATTTACGCGCCTGCTTTCCAATTCTGTGCGTTTTGAAGGACGAATATTTTTACGTATGCTCTGTATTAATTGGGGTAGGTAGTTAGTTTTTAATCAGCATGGCAGACGGACAAATGGAAAGCAAGTCATGTGGTTCTGTTTAATTGTCAGGCCAAACTGAAACCAGAATGTGGAAGAGTTGTAGCATTCTCAGCTGGCCTAGAGAATCTGCATGGAGTTGCTGGAGTGCGCGAGGGTCGCAGATGTGCTCTGGCACTGTGGTTCACTTTACGAAAGAAACACGACGAGGCGCAACGGCATGAAGCTTGGAACATTTTTAAAATGGCCAAGGAACAAAAACGGCTGGAAAATTTACCTGTTTTCACTCCTGAAGTAGCGACGCACGTAGAGTTATAGTTTTCTAGTCCATACTCAGACCTGGTGTTCCCGGTTATGGAAGAAAAGTGAAAAAAGAATTTCCTTTGGAAAGGAATAACAGCCATGCAGGCCACTAGAATATTGTGTATGAGAAACGGGTTTGGGACTGGGACAGAATTAACAATTGCCGTGGAAGTCAATCATTGAAAGTAGGAGCCCATTCTATATTTTCGAATTCCCCATGATACACTCTGTTTGCCCCCCAAATTCTGCATAAACCATTGTTTTTAAATGCTCCTGGGAGTATTGCATTTTCTCACGAGCATTTTAAGACAATAAATTATGCAAAATTTGGGGGGCAGATAGTGTCCCTCGCAGCCGTTTTTTGGATGCCATACACGCAACGCTCCCCGCGTGACATCCAAAAAACGGCTGCGGGGGAGACTAGGGGGCAGACAGAGTGTATTATGTGGTATTCGAAATTAGTAAAATCCAACTAGTGGTCTATTAACAATGCTGCGTTCGGATTGGTTGAGCTACTACTAGGCTATATGTTATAGCCCACTAGTAGCGAAAAGCCAGGCCAATTCGACTACAGTGAAACCTCGATACAACGATGGACCAAGGGACTGGCAAAATTTGTTCCCTATAACGTTATATCGAGGTTCTTTTTCATACATTTTACCATTACTGGGTAAAGAAAATTGTTCGTTATACCGAGGACTTCGTTATTTAGAGGTTCGTTATATCGAGGTTCCACTGTACTCAGTAGGTATTTGAGGGATGTTGTTTTGAATTTGTACATTTTTATACAGTTTTGTATAAAGATGTCGATAAGAGAAGTTATATTATAAAACTTAAAGATAAAAGGCCAGATGTTTCAGTGATGACGTTTTTAAGTAGTAATATATAAGTCGAAATTATTTCTATCATGTTAAATTTTTGGAAAATTTTTATAATATGCCACGTATCTGCGGTCAAAGTATAATTGAAGTAAAATTCCTTATTCAGACAGTAAAAAGTGTGTACTTTATATCCTATTTTTCGGGTAGAGTACGAATAGGTTCAAGGTGTTTTTTTTTTTGTTTTGTTTTTTTTTTTTTTTAACTTTTTTTAAAAAACGGTAAGTAAAAATCAATTGACATTGCTAAAAAAAGGGCCTTAAAATAAGTAAACTACCAAATTTAAAACCGGTGAAACCTACAAAAATTGTAAAGATATACACACCCCCAAACACCCAAATCTTTCCCGCCTTTCAAATGCTTCGAACTATATATAAAATATATAAAAAAAAAAAAAAATAATATATATAAATTGTTATTTTATAAAATATTTTTTATTAAAAAAAAAAAATTTTTTTTTTTTTTTTTTTTTTTTTTTGTTTTATTTTAAAAATTTTAAAGTTTTTTTTTTTTTTTTTTTTTTTTTTCAACTTTTGATAAAGAACGGTAAGCAAAAATCCATCGACACTGCTGAAAAGAGGGCCTTAAAGTAAGTAACTTACCAAGTTTAAAGCCGGTGATACGTACAAAGATTGCGAAGATATTCACTCCGCCAAGTCGCCAAGTTTTGCAGTCGTTTGTATGGTTCACACATGTCTGTAAAACTACGTGACTTGACGGAGCTTGTGTAGCAAAACAAGACTGATCGCCTTCACTGAAATAGTCACTAACTGAGTTAATGATATAAAAACACTAAAAACACGTTCTGCGGTCACCTGAAAATTGCGCAAAACTTTGAAACAAGCTGCAAGGGAAACTAAAGTGGTGACTTGTTAAAGGCGATTGGCCGTTGATTGCCAGGCTTTGCTAATTGCGGGTTTGATTGGTTGGCGTTTCGTGTCAGTGCTAAATACGTGCAGTTTATGTGTCTCTCAGTGAAGCGGTGAACGAAATCTTCGAGTGTAATATCTTGTGTTCTCACTTTGAAAAATTCTAACTTTTGAATACGCTATCTAAACAAAGCTTGGGTCCAGTCAATAAAAAATGAGGTCTCCTTGATATTTCAATATCGTTCCTTTTTGTAGCATTTTTTACTTTGTTCGCCAAATGTGCGAGTTCAGTTCTTAAAGGCACGTTAGTTCCCCGAATGCACAAAACTTTCAAAAACCTGCACGCTGATACCAGCTCAACCAACGCCTCTTCGACTCTATGTCTGTTTACAGCGTAAAAATTGTAGAGCGCCAGAGTTTCTATGTGTTGGCAGAATCTCTTGACGCAATCAAACACGGTTTCTGTTCTAATCGATGCTTGTTTTGTGATGTAAAAATGTTTTAAACTACGTAAGCCATTAAGCAAGGATTCTAGTTCCTCGCTGGAATTGATCGCGCTTCCAACGCATAGCGTGGTCAGTTCGGGGCAAGAATTTCTCACAAACTTGCAGAGCGTTTCTCCTGTGATATTAAAATTGCTGTGCACATCAAGAGTTTCTAAACGCTTGTACTGTGTTCGCGACATAGCGTTCATTACCTCGTCGGTCAGAGCTCTTCCCCAACCACAAAATGACAGTTGAAGGTAGCGAAGGCCCGTCAACTTTGGTAACAATGCCATTAGTCCAGACTCAGCTATTCCATAGCAGTAAGAGATATCTAGTTCAGTTAGCCTCGCTTGGCCCCAGTCTGTGCGCGTTAAATGTTGGTTGCGCACTCTGGTGCAACTTAACATCAAGGTCTTCAGACGTCTGCATTCGGTCAGCAGACGCGGGAATGATGTACCTGTGACGTATATGCATCCCGCCAAGCAAAGGGATTCCAGATTGGGACAAGATCTCGCTAAAATGTCCACGTGAGCGTCGTTGAAGGAAGCGCAGTTTTGACAGTGCACTATTCGCAAGTTACTGAAACTGGCGAAAATTATGTCTAAATCTGCTGTGGAGCCAATATTGTCGATACCTAGACATTGGATAGTCTTCAGTTCCTTGAGGAGTGTCATGAAGACTTTACAGTCATCACCGTAAAGGAAACGAAGATCGAGATTTTCAAGATTCCGTAAAGAATTATTCCTGGGACGAAATTCGTGGCTGAGATCCGTGAAGTGAGCGCCCTGCAATCTGGACCAAAAAAGAATGAATTGTATTTGAGGTCAATGTATTTAGCACAAGAGTACTAATTGGGGAAACATTGTTTACGTCTCCAACTGCAGACGGGACCGCCGTTTTGACAGACCATCCGTGCCACGCAAAGGTCTAGCCGTTTGCGCAGGGAAGAGGAAGTACCTTCAAGTCTTTGTTATTTAGAGATCCTGACTCTTGGTCCAGTCCTGGAATCGAACCCGCGACCTCCCGTTCTGCAGTCAAGCGCTCTACCTACTGAGCTACATGCATACCCTGCCGCGACATAAACGTGTTATGCCAAAACAACTCAATACTTTAAGCTAGGGTGTTAATATGGTCCAGGGCCCAGTTGTTCGAAGGCCGGTTAGCGCTAACCCAGGGTTAAATTTAACCTGGGTTTCTTTTTTGTTGTTGTTGTACAAAAGCACTGATTTTCCTGGATAATTTTTGCTATTCTTTTTAGAGCATCCAATCATCAAATTGTAAGCAAAAAGAATAAAACTGAATTTGCTTTTTAGGCTTTCATATCCGAATTCAAATTTCGCACTACCCCTGGGTTATCTTAACCCAGCTTCGAACAACCCGGCCCTGATGGAAAAAATGTGTTCAAACTGGCTAAATAAAACTTTCAGGGGGCCAATCTATAAACAAAAAATCGGTGAAACCGACGGATCTTTCTCAAATTCACTATGACTGACAGCTCGTTTCTTCAGCTAAGAATGCACAAATCTTGCGCATGCGCAGGCCGTGAGGTAGCTCGTTTAATTTGTTTTCTCTGATACTCAGTTCCTCATTTTACATTTTACATCCCAACATTGTTGTGTTCCCAGTCTATAGTCTCAAGGGGGAGGGGGAACTTACTAGTTTCACGACAAGATTGACTAACTAAGAGTAACTAGAATGGGGTCCCACACTGTTTTCGGGATTTTGGGGGTAAGCATATTCCGTTAATTATGGATATTAAAATTTAGTACATTAAGTTTAGCAATGAGTCAACTAATTTCAGGATGACCAAGTTAAAAGGCTTTATGAGGTAGACGCAATACAGAAAGTGAACAAGTTGGTATCGCGAAAGTTACATTTGCATGCGTAAAAGCCAATAACTGGGGGGCAATTATTTGCCACAAAATTAATTGACTTTAATGGAGTAGGGGTTGTGAGAGACCAGCGGCACATAACCAACAAAATTGACCCAAGTAGCTCCCCCCCCCCGGGCCGGGCCTGTACTGCATACTGCGGAGGCGCTTTAAACCGACAGTGTGGCGGACAATTTTAGTAGGATCCCATTTTTGTAATTTTCATAACCTTGCGCAAAACTGTACGTAGTAGTGGTCGCTACGGTATTCATTATATACCTTCCGCAAAAAATGTGTTCCTGCAGAAATTCCCTTTATAATTGCCAACGAGCAACCTCGAGAAGACGCAAGGCGGCAGCATTATAAAGCCGTGCCTGAAAGTTCCAAGGCAGAATGAATCTAGAAGCGATGTAACACAAGGTAGTGTTGGGTAACTTTTATAACGTAATGCATCAGAGAATGCATTGTTTTCGAACATTGCATTCTCGTAATTTACGGTAATTCATGACACCCTGAACAGCCCGCGCGTATAGGTAAAATCTTTGCTCGTTGGCACTTAGCGATAGCTATAGCTGGTAATTTAAAAGCGACTGTGATAACCAAGTGCAAATAACCCTTGCGGGTAAAACTACAGTTGAACTCCATTAAGCGGCCACCCTCGGGGTACGGACAAGTGGCAGCCGCTTAGTAGAGGTTGGCCGCTCGCTCAATAGAGGTTCGTCATGAATTAGCAAAATCTTTATCAGAAACACCAATTAATTTGAAACAAACGCGCGAC